TCAGTCCCATACTCTAAATGTGGTCGCACGTAAATCCGGTACGATGATTTAAAAATTTCGTCATCTAACTTTGGGTAGCACGAAACAATATATTGTGTAGTGATACGAATCATCATAGTTATTTAATTGCATCACCAAACACGTTTTAGGACTTACTTCCAGTGACCACCTGTCCAACCATACCACCAATGAGCTAAGATCATTCAGCAATACTATTCTATCCGACATATTGTGTATGAGTCTCCAAATCTTTATGTCGTCAACGAAGAGTAGAACGGGTGATTTTGCTGCAGTTGGCAATTCACTTACATGAAGTAAAACGAGAAGAGGACCTAGGAATGTGCCTTGGGGATTGTTTTGCTTCGAACTTTTACAGTTTGAGAACCCTTAAGGACGAGGTTTCTTTCACCAATTCCGCGACGCTCGTTTATTTCCACTTCTGCAGCTCGTGTCTTAATACGATCAGTTAGGCTGAGATCCTCACGGATATATATTCTGGATCCAATCAGTTTGCGTGAGTTTTCCAGTATCAGGTTTTTTTCTTCAACCGTAGCAAGGATAACCTTCAAGTGGCGGCTTTTCTGAGGACTTTCAGAATACACCTTTTGTCCTATTCTATAAAGCTTACAGATGCTAACCCCTGAAACTGTTTCTTGGGGTAGCTTGCTTATTAAGGACTTAATGTGACTGAGGTCGCTCTCAAATCGAGCTTTTGGTTTCTTATCGGAAGATTACTGACCTTTCAGAGAGGTCCGTTATGATACGCTGTGGAATTTTATTTCCTAAAGCCGTCTCTTCATCGCGATTCGATTTAAATTCAGCGTCAACCGCAGGGGTTACATTCTGTTTTCTTGCTTTTCTTTTCCTAAGTGTGACTGTGGTCCACTCACTTACCTTATTTTGTCTCATGAGCACTTCCTCTACACTGCTCAGACATGGCTCCCCTATAGTTTGTATTACATTGATTTGTAAATCCGGAACTGAAACCGCAGATTCACACAACTCGGTATTGTCTATAGGTAGTTTCTTCTCTGTGCTCTTCTTTTTTCTCTTTGTAACAATATTTACATCCATGTGCTCATCTACTTCCCTGATGAGGTTCACCTTTGTTGTCTCGTTTGATTCTACAGCTGAGCTTATGATAACGCTTTAAATTTCCTCGGAAGAGCAATCCCGTTCATATACCGCTGCCTGTTTATCTGAGGGCAATTTTCTATTCATATTCGGTAGCTCAGTCTCCTCTAGAATCAGCAGAAACTTTATAGAACAACATTCTTTGCACAATCAGAGTGATAATGGCTTGCAGCAGATGTGAGACCGGTGCACACATTGTGATACCACGTATTGCAGTTATCTCATTGCATCCATTGTGGTGGTCGGTTTTCAATATAATCCTTAAACTCCGTATACAATTTGTTTTCATGACCGTCACTAGACATCACTCCCAATATTAATCAGAAGGCGGATACGAAGTACTGACTACATTCATTATGGGACCACACACAGACATCCGAAATTACAGCTCCGTTAAACAAGCATAAATAAATTGTGCCGAAAGGCAAGGAGGCAAGCGAGCGAGTCAACGAATATGAGTACGAGTAAGCGATTACAATTAAGCGAGAGAGAGCAATGAACATGAATAGCAAGAATATATATATATATATATATATATAGTAAAATGAATGAATCACCGAATCAATTAATCGGTTAGTGGTAAAGCTAGCGGAGTGAATAAATGGGAAGGCAGTAAGCAGTGCTCAAGCATATATGTTCATACAAGTGAAACAATAATAAAGGTACGATTGTGTAGATAAGTTACTGTACGAATGACTCAGTTCGTTGATAATTTAACAAAATGACTATCGAATCAAGTACGAACAAACTCAATTTCACGTGAGTTGCTATACCATCATCGACAAGGAAATAGCAAACAGGTCTGCCACAACGAGGTTTCAATTACGCCATAAACTTGTTTTGTGTTTATATATAAATTAATGCTTCAGTTTCAGTTTGGAAAAGACAGGAGGCTTAATGGCCTGAGTTATTATTGGCAATGGTGGTCTCTCAGTTGATCCAACTTTCTTCTGAAAAAATCAACGGATGGAGCCTCAACCACTTGCTGAGGTAATGAACTCCACTCGTTGATGATTCGATGGGAAGGTCGATGGTCAACTGACAAGTAATTTGTGCTGAGCTGGTGAACTTTTCTGGAGTATCTTCGTAAATTCTCTGATTAGGAGTACAAGAAAAATGAGGGCATATTAGATGCAAATTTATCACTAAGCAATTCGAAAACTGTAGTCAAGTCGCCTCTCGTTCTTCGATATGACCTGGGAACAGTAAGCAAAACCGACTTCACTAGTTACGAAAAGACCTAAACACTTATGGAAACAGACAATACTCAAAGATATACTAAACGATGAGGAATAAATGCCAGAGCCTTTCGTTTTTTGTATCCGTACACATAAAGTACAGAAAATAAACTTCTATAGAGAAAAAACGGTACAGTTGGGGATCACTTTGACTGAAATAAATTCAATTAGAACAAAAACAGTAGTCTTGATGCGTATTTTAACGATCAATGCTATAAAATATACTCAGAGGAAAAATACCACTGTTCTTTTTGGATAGCACCTTAAAAGTGGAAAAGTCAACAGGACCAGATGAAATACACCCCAAAACCTTGAAAAATATTGCACAATATATCTCGGCCCCACTGACTGTGATATTCAATATGTCACTTGAACAAGGTGTTTTACCTATGGACTGGAAGGACACAATCGTCACTCCTATACATAAAACAGGACGAAGACAAGTTCCATCGAACTACAGACCTGTAAACTTCACCAGTGTTGTAGCTAAAGCATTGGAAAGAATAGTTAGATGGATCATAATGGCATTTATGGAAACCAATAACTTGCTAAACATAGAACAACATGGTCGTAGAAGGAGCCAATCCTGTACAACGAACCTCCTTATAGCAAGGGAGTTTTGGATAAAGGCGCTAGATGACAGAAACTCAGTGTATGTTGTCTACATAGACTCCAGTAAGGCTTTTGACAAGGTGCCAACTAATAGACTGCTATTGAAGTTGGCAAACCTTGGTATTGCCGGACCTCGTTTAAAATGGAATAAGGAGTTCCTAGGAGGTCGTAGACAGGAAGTAAAAACAAATTCCAAGTGTTCCATCTGGAGACCAGTACTTGGTGGAGTACCTCAAGGTTCTCTCTTCAGTCCTTTGCTTTTATAATGCATGTTAAGGATCTTTCAAGTATAGTGCAGTCTCCAAGGTTACTATACGCTGACGATGTAAAGATCTGGCGAGTAATAACTGGAGACACAGAAGCATGTGCTCTTCAGACAGAATTAAATAATATGATTAACTAGTCTAAAGAATGGCTAGGTACAACATAGGGGATGTGTCATTACCCGTAGTCCGGTCTCATAAGGACCTAGAGGTGACAGTGAGTCATGATCTAAAGACGACGGCCCAATGTCGGGAGGTCGCAGCTAAGGGGTTTCGAACCCTCTGGGCTTTAAAATGGACATTCACTAAGTTAGATACTACCATGTTCGCCACAGCATATACATCCTTAGTAAGAACTAAGCTTGAGAACTGCGTTCAAGCTGCAAGCCCCTGTTTAAAAGGTGACTCGGATATCCTGGGAAAAGTACAGAAGGCAGCTACCACTGCAATTCCAGGACTCCGGGGTTTACCATACAAAGAGCGGCTCGAAAAGCTGGACCTATTTACTCTGTCCTATGGCAGACTGAGGGGAAATCTGATTTTGATGTACGGAATACTGGGAAATGATTTTGGACCTAGCTTATTCTCTCTTTTTCTTCCCACTAGATCGGGACATCTCAGAGGACGCAGCAGGCGAGTAGAAAAACCGGTCTTCAGCCTTCAGTAATAAAAATAGTGGGTTAGTGAACCTGTGTTAATCCTGATAGATTGCCTACCAGTGGAGGTCCAGCTTCTCCTTGAAAATATTCACTGATAGGGCTGATACCACTTGTTCAAGTAAGGCGTTCCAGTCACTGACTACTGTATGAGAAAAACGGCACCCCACTCTAAGGTTATTAGATCGTGGTTTATGAACCTTCTTGCTATGACCTCGGAGATCATTAGTGCTGGAGGGAGCAAAAAGATAAAACATATTAACACCAAAATCATAATTAAAGATACAAAATGCCAGTGTAAGGTTACCTCATGTCCTACGGTACGACAAGGGGAAAAGATTTGGGCGTTTTAAACGCTCATCGCAAGGGGGTCTAGAAAGACCCTTCACCGATTTCGTTCCCACACGCTGGACACACTCAAGGGAGTTTGTATCCTTTACGAGACACGGGCTAGCTGCTTGGATACAGTACTCTAAATGTGGTCTAACATATATGGGATATAAAATCCGAAACGTTTCCTCGTCAAAAGATTTGAACGCTCGTCGAAGTGACCAAAACGCACGAAAACCTTGGACAGCGACTGTGTTTCAATGCGTTGTTGTTTTTAAATCATGACTTAATAGTACTCCTAAGTCTTTATGCTCTTGAACGCATGGAAGAGGTTTACCATTAATAGTGTAACGGTAACTACTACCGTGACGGATGCGCATTAGCACACTCTTCCTAGAATTGATTTCTAAGCCTCAACCCCGAGCCCATCTAACTAAATCGTCTAAGTCAGCTTGGAGATCCAGATGACCAGCCTCACTTCTTATTGTTCTCCAGATTTTTACATCATCTGCAAACAATAACATCGACGACCTGAGCAACTGCCATAATTCATTAACACAGAGAAGGAAGAACGGAAGGCCTAAGATGGTACCTTGTGGTACACACCATTTGAACCATTTGATTTATCTAAAACGAGGCTGGACCTTGACAGTGTTACAAACTACAAGGGTTAATATAGGTTGATCGACCTCCTGTCCTTATTACTGTGGACTGATGCTTATTCCTTCAAACTACTACTAAATTAACTCAAGGTTGTTAATTGGACAGCGATTTGAAGTTGAGTCAGGTGTGTGGATTCTTCTGGTGGTTTACGCGTACAGACTATTTTAATAGTTTCTTTTCTTGATTTATACACTTTCAAATATAAAAGTAAAAATGGGTCTTTTGATACGTTAGTTTTATGCCCAAAATGTAACTGGAGAAGTCATGTACGAAATTTTCTCTGTGCTAGTAAAGACGAAAAAATAACTTGTTCGGTTTCTGTAAAGTAGTACTGTAGTTCTAGCAAAAGTTGTTCGTTTGGATGCAATATGAGGGGGGGGGATAACCACTCGTCTTCCTCATCTACCTGATCAGTATCACATATGCACCTTTTTTCCCTCGATCTCAACCATATTCGTTTTCTTAGTGGTTAAAATAATCGGACGTCTTGAAATTTCATGCAACTTTTTCTATAATTGTATGAGGTGCGGCAACCTGAACTTGAGTCGCACTATATGAGTACGTATTCCAATGTTTCTTCCTGACTATGTATATCCTTTATGGTCCATATTTATGATACTTTTTTTCAGACAACCAGGCTATCTGGCCAGACATTCACCATTCTGAGGAATTGCAATGTTTTCTGAAAGAAATTAAATAGTCTAGTAAATCTCGTACTTGTAGTTCAGGGATAAAGTTGAAATCAAGTAATTTCACTAATGATGCATATGTCGGATCAGGTGGATGATGTAATACTTCCTGGGTATTAACACTAAAGGGTAGCGGGTGACTAGCACTTTACAAATAGATAGTGATTGGTTTCAGATTATATCACTAATCGGTCTTATCTCAGCCTCTTGTTCACTTGCAGCATTACTATGACACTTTTATATTTGAAAGTTGTAAATCCAAAATATCTTTAGAAAAGGGGCACATTAAAACAGACCAAAAAGAGTTGAATTACTGTTTTACGTATTAAAAGTAAGGAACCCGTCTTAGTTTATCTAGTCAGCAGCAGAAAAATAAACAAGTGGTCTGTTCACAGTAAAGCCTACGAAATACTTCCAACAATACTGACAGATTTTCTAGTTGTGTGATACACATATCTACCCTTAGGTTTTGAACAAAATGCGGGGACTTATGCAACAATATGGTGAACGGTTCTAGTGGAGACACATTATCAGTGTTCGAAGTTAAGAGTAAGTCAAACATTAGAATCATTTTTAAGAAATGCAATTCAAAATACTTTCTATATTCACAAGATTTTGTTTCCTGTTTGTTGACATAGTTACAGTATCTGATGTGTTAGGAAGAATTCTTGAAGCACACACACATATATTTATGTAATGTCGACTGTCTACGTAGATCGTGGGATGGCCTGGTGTACAGTGGTTGGTAAGTTTTTGATACATTTTTGAGTGATTTATGAGTGGTCTTTCTACATATCAGCCATAGAATTAGTGTTAAACGTATTCTACAAATGAATTGAGTTTTGTTGGGATTTGACATTCAATGATTAAAATACTCGAATTTTAATTGTGGAGTTGCGAGATCGAACCTTAATTCACCTACTTCGAGTAGGACAACTGGGTAGTATAACCAGGATTCATGTGTTTCAAGTAAATGTACATGAATCCATAGTATATATATATATATATATATATATATATATATATATATATATATATATATATATATATAAAAGCATGTGTCAAAGTTTGAACGGCACATATCACGACATACCTAATTCACTTTCTTTAGTTTAGATAAACTATGATGTATGGGCTTACCAATTTGTCTGAATGCTACTAAATACTAAGAAACATAACCGATTTCGTCAAGGATGTTTTGTGCTTAAGAAGGAAATCAAAAACCATCTTCAAAATAAAGGGTGTTTATTAAGACTCGTATTAAATTAAACAGAGTGTTTATTGGTGTCGACCTGGTATATCTACTGTCATTATTTTTGTTAGGAATGACCATTTATATAATGATGAAGCGTTTTTACTTTGACCGTTGTTACACAAACGGTCAAAACATGTTTTTTATGTCTTCCGTGAAATTTCTTGATACATTACTTTTATTGAATTAGGAATAAGTCGGGATAACATATGAGGATCAGAATAATGCCCTGTACTAGTCTTTAATATTTATGATCGCTTGTTTCATATTTTTTCCTTATTCTGAAAACGTTAAGAATGAGTGGCTATGGTTTGAAATGTCATAGGTGAGCGTGGATGAAAACGGTCAAAGCTATTCACTTTTTCGCCTTTTAGCTGAAGGCTATTTATTTACCACTACTTGATCTCAATTTATTCTTTTTGCTTTCCATTAACTCGTCCCTGCTATACAGCATATTTGAGTTTGGAGAAAATGGTAAGTTTCCCTAGTCCGTTTCACTTTTCAATTACGTCTACAATTGACGTAGTATCCCAGTGATGCGCACCAACTAATGTTTTGTTTTGAAAAGAATCGGTGAATTTAAAGACCCATCTTTTAAAAAACGACATTAAATGAACAATTCAGTTTTCATTATCAAATTCTTTTTAAGAAGGGATATTTTAATCTCTGAAAAACCGAATACTTTAACCTTTTATTTCAAATTAAAATCTATTCACTAGATATTGTAAGAGGCAAATTAAAATAATCAGTTGGTAGTCGTAAGAGTTACATATGTTTGATAGCCCATTGATGATCATATCAGTCAAACCTCTGTTCTTCTTGAATTTATGTAAAGGAAAATTCATTTCTGTGTTCAACTTTAGTAGTTACAGTAGATAAAGTTTTGGATGGTGGATTGTCAAGAGAATATTCTACACAACTACTTTACCAATCACTTTTACTAATCATTCAATGTTGATTACATCGTTCAGGGTCGAACTATTATTTCTAATGGCAACTTTTTCTTGCGTCCATAATTTCCCTAGCTCCTTTAGAGCTAGCTGTAGATCACATGATAGCTGTATTTTTCAGTATTTAATTGGTAGTAGTCACAGTTCCAGACAATCCGTTCAGTACAATTCAGATAAATTGTTATTTATACCTTGGTGTAACATATTTAATTAGTACATCAAGAGTGAAATGACAGATTAGTAAAATAATTATATTTTGTTCTATTTATTAGTAAGTATTTTGGCTTTAAATAATAGCCAAAAGGCTTACGCACGCACCATTCAGTTTATTACCTGCTGATGAAATGAAGTGCGATAGGTTCCTCATAGTTTTTAATCATGAATAAATTGAATGTTTTATTCACGGTAATTCAGAAAAATCTACTGAAATGTTCGGCAGACGTCAAAAGATAAATAAACATGAAGTCAATCTCACACAATCATCCTCGAATACTATAAGAAATCGAAGATGATAACTCATTTCATAAATCCAACGGTTTTCAGAAAGGAAAGTGTTATCAACCCTATCTTTGCATTGTTCTGTAATTCATTCGTCGAAGTGATTTCCTCCTAACCAGTGGGCACCAAGTTCAAACTACTCCTGCGGTTTTTGTTGCAGTACGGTACCACTCTACTTCATACAGATAATGGGACTCAAAATCAAGTGCATAAACATGTACTTAGTAAATAGTTTGTATAAATCAGTATATTTAACTACTAAACCCTTTAAGCAGCATTATCAAGTGTAAACACGACGACTCAACCAAGAATTTTTTATGTTTTGGACAAAGTCATTATTCTAGTTCAAGAAATTTTTATTTCTCAATTGTTTTGTTTTGTTTATTAATAACAGGTGGCTTTGTTGCCAACGTTCTGTTAGGTGGTTTAGGCAAATCTTATAGTTTGGTTATGGAAGCGTTTCAAGAAGTATTTGAATGTGGTTCTGCCTACTTGTTTTTAGCTGGTGGTTTAATCTATACACTTATGTATTGTCTGTGTAAGTTTCTATGCATTTGAGATATTATGTTTATATTTTCGAAATCAATTAAATATTTCTATAAATAATATTTAAATACTATCAAATTACATTTGGCGGGATTCTAAGAAATTTATTTTTGGAACTTTAAATGAAGTTATTGAGCAATGGTGACAATGGTATATATAAGGTTAGCGACTTCGAACTGCATGACTCAAAATCATTTGCTGTAGCGCAGTTGCATCCATCCTTTGTCTCCCCCAGAATCCTGAGATCCTAAATCCCTCTTGACTTTTTTGTTTTTGTTTCTCTAATTTATACTTACTTTTCGAGTTGTGTGTTCGGTGCCTAATCTTTCCCATTACCACTGATACTGTTACTACCTCTACTATTCTGAGATTTGATTTAAAAACTTCATCTCTCTGTGTTAACGGGGTAAGGCAACTCGAACCGATGTATATACATATAGGTCTTTGTTGTAACGCGTGTGTGAGACTGCAGGTTTTGATAAGCAGCGTATTTATCGATCGCCTCTGTGACAGTGGACGCGTAAACACGGACGGACGACCTAGTGCCCTGATTGGTCCCGCTTCGCAGTCTGTCCCAGCCAGTTGAGTGAAGAACGCAAGTCACAGCCTCTGAGTTATGAATCATTATATTTCAAACATACTTTGTTTATATACCAATCAAGCATACCACATCGTACCATAAAATAGGAAACAACATTTACAAAATATTTAACAAGTGAAATAAACATCGACCAATAGGAAATGTACATTTAAGGTCCAAGGACACCATAGACTTAACACGATAATTATTGGTATATTTTTCCGACTATCCTAACAGTCTTACGTTGTAACTGACTGACTTTGTGTAGGTCTTCTTACATTAGAGTTCGTGTAATAAGTTGGAGCTGAATATTATTTAATTACCAAGCTATGTCTTTCAAAATACATATTTGAACGCTCCCCTGCCTAGCCTTCTAAAGGACCACAGAAGTCAGTTTAAAGCTCAACCTTGAGGTATTGCTCATTCTACATACCGAATAATACAATATATAATATCTCTAGAATTTTAGCGTAGTTTAGTTATGTTTTCACACCTAACAATTTTAAGATGGTGCTCTAGATTCGGTCACCCAGTTTTACTATAACTAGTGAAGTACATGGATATATTGAGTTAGAAAGTTACATCATCTCTAGTACCTTGCCTTTAAAATTGTTTCATCGTTATCAAGTTTGATTAATGTTTGCCAACTTACTCAACTCAGTATAGTCTGTTAGTTATGTAATCCCCTTCTAAGCGGGTATAAAACTCATCAGTGTCATTAATTAAAAAAAAAATTAATCTAGGTGTTGTCAGTTCTCTTAAACAATATCAAGATGTACTAGTTTCTTCAACTTATATTTTTAACATTTGGTGGAACCACTAGTTTGTCGAATTTTTAGCTAATAAAGGCTTCGATATGCACAACAAGGTGACCAGTGGGGTTGTAAAAATATACCAGCAATGTGTGTGAGAGATTTCACATGTTCAATTACTGTTTCATTAGGTATTTAATGTTGGGTTAAGTATTCAAGTGCCTGCATAATTCAAAAACCAAGTCTTTTAGGTAACCTATATCAATATGGGATGAAGTCATAGAATGACTATCAAGCAATAAAAAATAGAATAGAATGATTTGTTTCCTAAAAAATATTGTTTCTCGAAATTGAGTTAAGTAATTCATTAGTCTTAGTCAGATTTATAGCTTTCTTCCAATTTACTCCTACACCATAAAACATCGCACGTCGGGGCAGTCTGTGGTTGGACATACGTAACACATGTCGCAGCCATCTCAACTGATGAAGTTTTACTAATTCATCAATGGATTTGTCATCCTTACCTAGTACCCGTTTCCCAACAACTGCATTACTTACTCGGTGGTCCCAGAATATACGAGAAATGCTTCGAAGACACCTGTCATCGAATACTAGTAACCTACGAATATCCTCTACTCTTACCGGCCATGTTTCACTGGCTTTCAAGCACCGGTTCTTGAACCAACTATTTCCGCATACTTCATACAGCTTTGAACCACATTCAACCATCTCGAATCCTGTATTGACGAAATGTTTCTGGGAATTAAAAGAACATGATAAAGAGACGATATTTGAAAAGTATAAACAGATTTATAAACAGCGTAGGAATACTATAGCAGAGCCTGTTGTAGTTATGGTGATGATTTTATAGATCCAAATTGCTTCTAGATAGCTGGGTGTTCATGACTATTTGGTAATTTTACTCACTTTACCTTGTACAGCTGACTGGCTTAATTGGACTTGGATTTTGCAGATATATGTCGAGAAGACGAAATAAGATATGTTATTTTTCATTTGTTCAGGGTCTACTAGTCGACTAAAAAGGTGCTAATGAGGACTATTTGTGTAAAAAGTCCTGCTAATCGCATTCGCTGGTCTACTATGTAGCACTTTGATTAAATATTTCCCAATTAAATTGTAGTTTCAAAAATAGGGCATTTCTTCCTAGGTATCAATTCACTCCCCGACCGTTGTTGCTACCTTGACGTGGTGGTTGGGCTTGCCTATCGTGATGAAGCAACCGAGCTATACTGGCTGGAACAACCGTTCCTCAAGGTCCTACCATGTCAGACAGGTCGGTTGAAGAGCGGTAAGACTAAAAGCAACAAACCCAAGGTCCGAAGGCGAAGTCGTACTGCTGACTGTACAGAGGTGTGACAGCAGTAAGGTGTTTCCTTCAGACAACCAGCATGACAGCGATGCTGCCTTCCCACAAGGAGGGGTGGGGTTAGAAAAGGTCGACCCTAAAAATGCACACCTCGCCTTATCCCACGGATATCCGTCTCCGGCGGTAAGGTCTCAATAAGTACGGAGCTAACACAAAAATTACCCATAACAAGGTCGTGTGTGACCGACCTCAAGCAGTTGTCCCTTGGGCACTGCGGTCACGCTCTCAGGTCACTAAGACCACCTCTAATCCAATTTCCTTTTCAGGTACCTCCAGAACAACCCTTCCACGGTGTGGGCAGCCGGGAAGTGATAACCGCCCTCACACTTCTAACAGCACTCAAGACCACTGTATTCATAATCAACCTCCCTCTTCAATTCCTATTATTCCTCCTACATCGACTTTCAACTCTAAATTTCCCCTCTCAGCTTCCACCTCAAGTGTCACCATAGCCAACGATTCTAGTGCGCAAAATACTGTCCCAGGTCTACTGAAACCTCGCTCCAAACTACACATTGGAGCCTTCAACGTACGAACCCTATGTCAAATCGGTCAGCAGGCTTCCTTGGCTAAAACCCTAGAGTCTCTTACCATTGACGTGTGTTGTGTCTCCGAAACACGCATACAGGACTCCAGTGTGGTTATTCACTTGACCTCACCTCGGCAAAACGGAGAGCCAACGAGATACACCCTTCGTGTATCTGGTGACCCGATGGCAAGTTCTCGTGGACTGGCAGGTGTAGGCATAGCACTAAGCATGAGGGCCGAACAAGCACTGCTAGAGTGGATCCCCGTCAACAGTCGTCTATGTGCTGTTCGGCTGAACGGCTACGTAAGAACTCGGAAGGATAGGGACACACGTCGTTGCCTTTTTGTCGTTTCTGCCTACGCTCCCACTGACTGCAGCTCAGATGAAGTGAAAGATGAATTTTACAGAAAGCTGTCCGAACTTCTTCAGAAAGCTAAACGCTCAGACATAGTAAAAGTGAGGTTAGATGCGGGGTATCAGGGGATGATGGTAAACCAGTTGATGAGGTTGTGAATGTTCATCGACTGAGATGGTTGGGTCACGTGTTACGTATGCCTGAACACCGATTACCACGACGCTCAATGCTGATTAGTGTTGGGGATAGTTGGAAGAAAGTTAGAGGCGGTCAAACCAAAGCGTGGCATCAGTGCTTGAAGTCACTAAATTCTGGTCTGAGCCATGTTGGTAGATGTAGACTACTTGGTTGGGGTACGCGCGACTATCGTAGCCGATGGTTGTAGGCAACTTGGACCGATGTATGTATGTACCTGTTCCTATGTTTTAGCTAACTGACTGATGGGATTAAGTCATAGAATGACTATCAAGCAATAAAAAATAACATAGCATGACTTGTTTCCTAAAAAATATTGTTTCTCGAAATTGAGTTAAGTAATTTATTAGTTTTAGTCAGATTTATAATATTGACAATATTTGAAAAATGCAATCGGGTTTTAGTGTTTAAAAGTATCAAGGTGATCGACAGTCCCCAGCCGTGATTGTTCTGACCATTAGGCACCGGTTCTTAAACCAACTATTTCCGCATACTTCATACAGCTTTGAACCACATTCAACCATCTCGAATCCTGTATTGACGAAATGTTTCTGGGAATTAAAAGAACATGATAATGAGACGATATTTGAAAAGTATAAACAAATTTATAAACAGCGTAGGAATACCATAACAGAGCCTGTTGTAGTTATGGTGATGATTTTATAGATCCAAATTGCTTCTAGATAGCTGGGTGTTCATGACTATTTGGTAATTTTACTCACTTTACCTTGTACAGCTGACTGGCTTAATTAAAATAGGATTAGCTTCAGTTCAAAAACATTGATTTTTTATACGAGTCTTAACTGAACTGCCAGCTGGTCGGTCAGTGTAGAGGTGATCGTAATCACTGGTTAAATACGGTAGTATTACTTAAAATTAATCAATGACGCATATATAATTGGTTTATACTTTCTTCCTAACCTATATTGTTTCATATCTTGAGTGTTTATAACTACTTGATAATTTTACTCACGAATATCCTTTTCTGCTAAGGACCATGTATCACTACAACATTGTAACACAGAGAGAACCTTTTTACAATATACTCACGCCTCGGTTGGTAGATGGATATTTCTCCTACTGCATAGGTGACGCAAGTTGTCAAAAGTTATGGGAGATATCCGTTCAACATATTTCTTGTCTATGTCGGATACACTAATCTTTATCAATGTCTCTCTTTTGAATGTTCTTTTCAATTCTTTTTTTCTTTTATTTAGTTTTCTACTTCGTAAATCAACTTGTATGTAATGACTGAGTTGCATTATTTCTACCAGAGAAATGAAGGAAAATTTTTTTGTCTTACCTAGTTGCGTGTAGCCAGTAGTTACGTCTTATTCCCAGTTCAATTGTTGGTCATGCTTAATATGATGTAGTAGTGAATTTATCCATTTGCCAATAGCATTAGTTTTCTCATATTTTAGTAGTTTAATTATTCTGGTCTTTCAATGTATGTTAGTTGTCAGTCGATGTTAGCCTTAAAATATACCTACTGATGCAAACAACTTTTCTTGTATGCTATGAATGCTAAAGGAGGTGGTAGTATGTTTAATATAGAAATTGGTATAGTTTATATAATTATTATGTCTGTGTTGATGTATTCAATTTTAATACATTTCGCTTGTTTATAAATTGTCATTTACTGTTTTTTTTTTGTAGCTCTCGTTAACCACTTAATTTCAAAACGATATGGTAGTCGACCTGTTGTGATGGTTGGTGCTTTTGGCTCTTGTATAAGTTTATTAATTGCATCATGTTCACCGAATCTTGCACTTTGGGTTGTTGCTGTTGGTTTTGGAATAGGTACTTCATCTTGACTATAAGTTTCTTTTTTTTCTCGTTTACCATTGAAAGACTACTGAGTATTGACTAATGTCATGTCTGTATGGTCCTTTAAAACTGAAAGAATCCTATCGATCAAGTTGCAGTGTGATAACTAGTCGAAAGGACTCAATGTAGTATGGAATATATTGAGATGTTAACCAGTTGGAGGTAGTCAACAGAAAATTCTACTTGACCTGGATTCCAGTCTGGTTGGTACTTGTCAGCAAGATGTACTTGACATCTTGAGGAAGCTGACGCGCCCTGTAAGACTAATCAGTTGTAAATATTTCAGTCCTACAGATGGCTAGTCAGGATTTGAATAGCTCAATCGTAATATCTGAGAGTTTCAAGCTAGGTGACACTAATTTGAATCCTACAAGGAGAATTAGTTGCTTAAAGATTCCAGGTGTCTTGTTAATGAGTGCTAACCAATATAATACCCAAGTACAGGGTATCTTTCCAACTACATAACATTTTTGTGTTGGTTTTCTTCATCGTTAGTAGTCCATATATTTCTTTAAATAACCAAAAATGTGATATCGTAATCGTTTTAAAGTGATAAAATGAAAGTACTGTGAGTAGTGAATGCTTTGTCGGTTTTTTTTAAATTAACAAGTATTGTTGATTTTGTGTCATTCTACTTTTTGACTAGACTATATTTCAGTCTTTCTAACTTTTAGTTAATTAGTACACACAATGTTTGCAATGTCGGTTGTTGGCTAGCTGATTGATATTTAAGCTCGTTATTTACCGATTAAATCACGGGTTCAAATACCGCATAATCGAAATGTTTTAGCACTTAACAATACATATCATAAGTGCATGATTATATCTGATCAATTTAAGAAAACTACTGTTCATCCGTATTTATTTTTTAATGCTTAGTTTGTTAATAGTGAAGGTTCCGTGGAAAATCATTTCCACTGTCTTCGTATTTAGATACTTCAATTTTCAACTTTCAGAGTTTCTTTGTAATCCAAGTTCTTAATCATTTGAATAGGATAGAGCTTTTTTTCCTTAGGTGAGGGCGATAAATTGTGTCCAGCTCAAATATTGTTTACTTATATACGCCACTCACCAGTACTCTCGATTGAACCTTGTCCTATACAATCCTTTCTAGCTTTTCCCAGTTGTTATTCATCTTTTTTTTCATATCTGCCTCTATTTCCCAACGTAATATTTTCCTCTTTTCCGCTTCCCTTCAGGATTCCAAATATCGGTTGTTTGTTTGTTTGTTTGTTAACTATGACCATGATGTGTAATATTGTCTAGGTTATTATAAATAATTTATAACTGAAAATATAATTCTATATTAGGCGTAAACTATTCATAATCTCTCTTTTTCTTTATTTTTAATCTTAAGATATATGTAATTCATAATAAATTCACAAATTTACTGATTAGTCAAAACTATATTACTGATATTGTTTAACATGAGATTATTGATTTGGGAGTAAATTATTTTTTATAGTTAGCCTGTAATTACCATAGGGATAAATATGCATTAGTTCAAGTTATCACGCCATATCAATACGACGAGATGAAATCGACAAAATAGGGTGATAAGAATGTCAGCGATAATAAAGAGGTCTAATTCTAATCTAAAATGTAGGTAATAATCTTGAAAACTGAAGTTTAGAATGAGATATAGAGTAGATCCATCTTCACCATTGGTTACGGTTTTCACGTGAACGCCATTAAAATAATCCACACCAACCAACATAGTTCAGACTAACAGTGATTTAATGGATTGATACCACACCTACCTTGTCCAGCATTTGGGATCAAGTTAGCCGGTAGTTGGGCACACTTAATCCATGTCGGTATGGCTCAGAATAGAAATCAATGGCGATCTTACTGTATATGCTTTTGGGTGCTCAAACGTACCGGAAATTTAAAGCAATTAGTCCCTTTTATAAATTTCGATAAAACAATGAGAAGACGGAGTTTGATGTGATCAGTACCGGAAATTGTCGAATATTATAGATATAATATAAAGTAATGAAAAGAAAAAGAAACGGGTTCCAAACATCTGTGGATTATTACTAAGGGGGTCCAGAAGACTATATCTTGTTGACATCTTCACCAAGACAAACTAGGTCACATGTGTACTCTAAGTCAATGAATGAGTTCCCTGGATGGGAATTAACTTATTCGCATCCGATGATGTTTACAGATAATTGTACATTATATCACGTTTAAATCAGTCGTCAAATAAATTCTTGAGCAAGTAATATTTTGATATAACCATTATAATGACACTACATACCGAACCTAATATATGTTGTCTATCAACATTAGAGTTGGTGTTCTTTCCGGATATCTATTCAAAGTGTAGAAGAGAGATCATGTGTAAGCTAATCAGTACAATTGGCGTTAACGGGAACCATGTGTGATCATATACTGAAAAAAAGTTCTCATAGGATCCATGTACATTTTCTCACTTCCATTTTTCATAAGTTCTATTGCTTTAGTATCAAAGGAATTATCACTTACCTATCATCTGATTATACATAAACTAATTAACTTTACTTGTGTTCTTCCACAGGCGCGTCCTTGTCATGCATTTATTTTACAGTGTTCGCTGTTGTTGGATGTTGTTTCAAACGATATTTAGGTTTAGCAAATGGAATTAGTGTTGCCGGTGTTAGTGTTGGTCAAATGGTATTTCCTTCATTGATCACTACTTTGAATACTACTTATGGTGCTAGAGGTGGAGGAGTAATTATGGCTGCAATTTGTTTACATTTGTTAATCACAGCTGCATTAATGCCTCGTCATATCATTGATCCAGATGCACCTGTTGTGCCAGCAGAAAAAGTTGAAACAGGCAAATCAAAACGGAAATCTTGCAAGTCACAATCAAAATCTAATGAAGACAAACAATTAATAGCTTCAGAAGATCTATTGAATGTTGATAAACAGTCGACAGCCATTGATTCAGATAAGAAGTTACAAAGTCCCGTAGATGAGTTCTTCTCGAAATTAGACAATCAAAGGTAAGTTCTATAAATTCTAGTGTTCATTTGCTGCTGCTTATTTCCCCTGTATTTCGAATAGTTTCCTAGCTTTGTTGCGTTGTGGTCATTAGTCAAAGTAATGCATTAGTGTACTTTTTTCGGTGTCAGGGTGATTTCAGGTAATTGGAAGAAAGGGTTAGATCTAGGTTTAGCGTTACCTATCACTCGTCAGGCATATCAATTACTGTAAACATTCCAGTCCTACTATAGGTCAGTTGCTATCCAGATAGCTTCCTAATAACGTCTTTACTTTGACACTAAATGAAAAGAGTTAGAGTTCTGGGGGTGAAGATCATCCTACTCAACGTTGTAGATACGCATAAAATCTTGAAATCGATTTGTAAGCATGTTTATTCGCCTCTTTTAGTTATAAATAGAGCAATAATTTGGCTAGTATTATGTGAACACTGAATTTAACAGAAGGTTGTGAAGAGTATTATGTTTTTGTAACACCATTACGTAGTAGTTCAACTAAATCCCAATTAAATGTACTCTCATTTCTGTTCACTACTTGTCTTCTATTTATTTTCAGAGATGTAGTACACTCAGTGAATGCTATTATTCATTCTTCGTCTACATTATCATTGTCCCGTGTATCTGTCCTATCATTATCAACTCGTCATGTAAAATACCTTACTCGTGGTTTACTTATTGTTTATATAGTTGGTAAAACATTTGGTGACGTTGGTGATGTCAGTGTATCTTTTATAGCACCAGTATTTGGAACTGAACTAGCCTTAAGTCCTACCATAGTGAGCACATTTTGATATAATTCCTTTATAATATATTTAATTAGATTGCTGTTATCTTATGGTTTATATTGCTTTATTATTTCTTAAGTTAGGTAACATTAAATTGGGTCAACTTTGAATAAATGAGCTACGTGAATTAAGTGAGAAAACAAGCTTATCAATATTTTTTTTCCAGCTAATTACGAAAAATTGGTTGTTGCATCAGTCAAAGTTGTATATGCTGGAAGTTTTCTACATAATCCTTACATAAATAATTGTGTTTTCACTTCCGTACACTTGTTTTGAATATTGATTTTTGATCAGTAAGTTAGCCATAAGCAACGTAGTATCAGCATCGATGTGATAGTAAGAAAAGACTAGTGACAGAAAATACGATTCGAGAAAAAAGAAATGGTTCCCGGAGTAGTATTATAAGTTGATCCTAAGATTCAAAATGTAAAGTAAAATAGTGGATGTATCTGAGCCGTCGAGACTGATTCTGAACGATTCCACTTACCGCGGTTATCTCACGGACCCCAACCAGGTAGTCTTCACCTACTTACACAACTCAGTTCTACAGTTAGTGACTATATTTGATGATGCCATATATTGGTTTGGTTGCCTCTTTATTTCTTCCAATCTACTATTTGAGGTAAGCGGGGTAGTTGGGCTTGCGTAATACGCATTCCAACCATTTCAGTCGATGAGGATTCATTGTTTTATCAACCGATTCAGTATGTTTGTGTCGTACACTGCGTCCAACTTCATCATCGGTCACTCGGTGGTCTCAATATACTCGAGCAATGCTTCAAAAATATATATGATTAAATGCTATTAACACACGAATACTCCCCATTCACATGGGGTACATTTCAAAGCCATAAAGTAGAACAGAACGAACTACAGCTCAGCATACTTATCTTTTGGTTGGCAGCCTGGTATTTCCACACCACTGTTGACTTGAAATATACATTGTGTACTTACAGAAATGGTCATTTATGGTGTTGATTTAATCACTGGTTAGTTTTTATAAAAATATTGTTTGGGTAGATGTCCTTTTATATTAACTTCTTATCATAACTTTACATTAATGTATAAACCAATCAAATCGGTGCAAATTAGTTATTAGACAATCAATCAACTAAAGTTTTGTTATCAGAATAGGGGTTTGTGGAGATTGTAGCAATTTAATAATTGAATGCATGAGTCGATTTAAGCTAGACCACCATGGGAAACTTAGAAGCACTGGACAGCTGTTTCGTTCTAGTACAAGACTCCTCAGCAGTGTGCACTTACGACCCCGCACACGGGACTCGAACCCGGGACCTTCAGTCTCGCATGAAAATACCTAACCTTTAGACTACTGAGCTGGCATCTAACAATGTTAATGTCTACGATATTGCGCGACCGTCTACCATTGTTTTCAGTAAGTAACTACGTCAAAACAGTTTCATTGTCGCTTCATAGGCAGTACATATATACGAAGAGCTATCCAAATAATACAGACATTTTTTACACCTTATTTTCCAGTCATTCTTTTCTTTTAATTGTAAGAAATAAAAAAAGGATTAGTTGCATATACACCTTGTCTATATCTGGTCACTAGTTTAACTGCTTATTTGAAATTATTTCTACCAACTACACAATTTGGTAAAGTATTTTCCGAATTTTGAAATATCATCCATTCTCATTAGCTCTCTATATCTTCTCACTGATGAATAGACATTGAGTATTTAGTTAGTGAACCCTAATTAAAATAATTTGATTTATGTATCAACCTACTTTATGAACTACATTTTCTCTTAACGTTGTCTATATTTATCTTTTTTTTTTAAACTAATCGCATTCATCATTAGTTAAGTTAAAACGACGAGACTATTATTCTTTGGATGAACCAATCAGATTTACGATAACATGTCTTGAATTTTGGCGCGAAATCCATTCATCTTTTCGGTTAAATAGAGTTTTGGCATTATAGCTGATGTCATTTCATGATGAAAATCCTATATCTGATTCCTAACCCTAACCATCAACTATAAATACTAATTATAATTCCTCATACTGCTTTATAATCCTTATTTAGCCGTAGTATGTAGGTGTGAACATGCTCAAGGTGTCTTTAGCGTCGTTCAGAGTTCATCCGTAAATTATATTCTCACCGTTAAAACTACTAGTATTTGATCATAGGTGCCTTCAAAATATTGCTCGTATATCCTGGGACCATCGAGTAAGTAATGCAGTTGTTAGGAAACGGGTACTAGGTAAGGATGGCAAATCAATTGATGAAGTAGTGAAAATTCATCAGTCGAGATAGCTGGGACACGTGTTACGTATGCCCAACGACGGACTTCCTCGACGTGCGATGTTCAGTGGTATAGGAATAGGTTGGAAGAAAGCTAGGGGCGGCCAAAACATGGCACAAGTCCATGAAGTCACTGACAATTAGACTGAGTCATGTTGTTAGGTGTAGACTACCTGGTTGGGGACCGCGAGATGATAGCAACCGATGGTTAGAGACCCTGAATGACATGGCTCAAAATCGTTTGCAATGGCGCAGGTGCATACACTCTTTGTGTTCTCCCAAATTTTGATCTCCTTGTCTCTTTTTTTCTCCTCCCAAATTTATTTCACTGTATTATACTCCTTAAGTAACATCTCCAAACACTAATTTTCCCGATTACTGCTTATACTCTTATTACCTCTACCACTACGGGATTTGAATCGACCACTGCATCTCTGTGCTAATGTGGTGTGACAACTCGAACTGATGTACGTACGTACGAAGTTCTACGTTGTTACTGACTGGCTGAACTGACGTTAAAACTACTGTTCAATTGACTAGGAAGGTTTACAAATCTTTTTTTTCATTTCCTTCTTTAGTTTTTCTCATCATTTTATTTCTTATATATGATTAATGTTAATCTGTGTTGACAATAATCATTTGATTGCGTAACTTGAATTTTTCAACTACTTTTACGAATCATTATTTAAACACTCTGTTTTAATTCATTAAATTTGTAACCTTATGAACATTGTCAATTACCTTACCTTAGACACTTTAATTTATGGAATTCATTTATCTATTATGTAATTGTCAACTAATCTTTATCATCACTGCTAGGAAAGTCCTACTCACCGCTTTCTCGTGGCGGGGGTGTTGTTTACGAAATTAAAAAGACGAAAAGTGAATGTCTGACGCTTTAAGCGAGTTGTTGGACACGGAGAATTCACTTAGGGGAGTTGGAAAATCCTGATTCCAAACCAATGGTGCACATGGCCTCCAGGATTCTAAGGAAACAAATGACGTATGAACCAATTATTGGTCACCGGCTAACATGAGACTGCATCTTCTGACGTTGCTCCACTGCCTTATGGATCAGACCTTTATGTCGAAGGCTCCGTGTGTATGACCCCCTAAGAAAACTACCTGCTTCAGTTTGGGCATCTGGGTAGTATCCTAGCCCTCACACAAATTAAGTGACTTGTGTGGCGCATATGTATTCAGTGCCCCTAAATAAAAAACTTTACCATCTTTACTTGGTTTCTACTAGTTTTTATCATTTATTGTACAGGCATGATCTTAGTGTAAAACTAACTGTCGAAGTAATGATGAACCAGTTAAACATAATTACTAATTCTTGATGATGTTGATAGATTTTGTATAACCAGTTGTAAAAATGTCAGAAATCCTTATACCTAATATGTGCATTACGTTTTGAATATGATAATGTACTTAGGGAAAAAATTTCTTTTGGTGTGTAATATATTCATCATTGTTAACTCTGTGTAGATGATAATATTTTTATTATTTCCTTCAAAGTTTACATTCAACTATGACATTAAAATCAACACCAAATCACACTGATAATAGACCCCGACCATAGCTGCTACCTTGACGCGGTGGTCGGGCTTGCCTATCGTGATGACCCAACCGAGCTACATTGGCTGGAACATATGTTCCTGTAGGTTCTATCATGTCAGGCAGGTCGATTGGAGAACGGTAAGTCTAAAAGCAGCAACTCAAGGTCTGAGGGCGAAGTTCTACTGCTGACTGTAGAGGGATGTGACAGCAGTAAGGTGTTACCCTCGGAAAACGAGCATCTGCAGCGATACCGCCTTCCCACAAGGAGGGATGGGGTTAGAAAAGGTCGACCCTAAGAATGCACACCTCGCCTTATCCCACGGATATCCGTCTCCGGCGGTAAGGCTCTTTGGAGAACGGAACTAACACATTAAAAACCTCCCACGAGAAGGCCGTGCGCGACCGGACTCAAGTAGTTGTCCCCTGGGCTCTGCGGTCACGCTCCCAGGTCGTTAAGACCAACAGTAATCTGATTTCCACTTCAGTTTCCTCGAGAAATACCCTTCCACAGTGTGGGCAGCCGGGAAGTAATATCAGCCGTCATACCCGTACCAGCACACGAGACCAAGTTGGTCACATTCAAATCCTTCCTACACCTCCTAAAGTTGACTGACTGATAATAGACTGCACTGATAACAGAATAGCATGATGTATTTGCTAACATGAATGCTGCTTGTACGGGAACAGTCATACTGTTTAAATCTAATATCACGAAGAAAATACTTAATGTTTGTTGATGTCATTTGTCAGTTTTAAAATACCATCATGTTTTAGATTTTGTGTAATATTATTTTCAACTATTCAAAAATAGACAAAATGTTTGTTTGTTCTGTGGATTTGACCCTTCTATTCTTTTTTGTTCTGTTTTACTTTTATCTATTTGTTTATTTATGTTTAACTTAATTGTTTTCAATTCTTGACAGTTTTTCTTACTTACTTACTTACTTCCTTTCTTTCTATTGAAGATGCTCATACAACTATTGTCTTTATATTCTATCAAATTGTTTCAAGTTTTAAATTATTAATGATTTTCTATATAGAACGAAATACGGGTAGTTGTACATGTATTTTTATGAATCATTTGAAATAAATAATGAACCTTCTGACCAATATTGAAGTTCAAGTAGAACACTACTATCTATTATTAATAATACTAATGAATCTATCTGCATAGAATTATCTTTTTTAAGTTGTCTAGATTTTAAAAACATTTTCGTTATAATGTCTGTTTAATTTCAAAGTTGATTTACTTAAAAGTAGCTTCCATCATGGAATAGTATTATCTGTGGAGAATGGTTTAGTAGGTGTCCTGTTCTAGTTTTGGAGAATCTTTAAGTAAATCTTATTTATAAACGCATACACGAGCTCCAAGTCGAAACCTTCTAGTTTCATAGTAACAAAAATTAACTTCATTTCATTGAATCGTGACATTTACAACTTAACCCGAATTACGAACGATGTAATTAACATATCTTGTCAATTGACTGTTTTTAAATAAAGCAAGAACAAACATTGATGCAGAATAGTATGAATTCATATTATTTCGAGGTTTCTCGTCAGCTGCTTACAAACCAAAATTGTGATAGAATTTTTACATGGAGATAGTGTGAAACAATTGACATAAATGAGTGTAAATAACTTGATGACAATAATAACTATATATATATATATGCTAGAAACAGGTCAGAGGTCAAAAGGAATTAATTCGGGTTGGGTGGTATAATAATGGAATTGAATAATTATAAGATAGGTTACGTAATAATAATAAGATAGAATTTGAAAAGTTAAGATAATTTAAGAGGATCAGGTGGCGGAATTGTGTGAATGATAATGTGGTTTAAGAATTATGTAATAGGGGAGGAGTATAAATATTTTAAAATAAATAAATAAATAATAAAATAAAAGGGGGTTACCAGGGTAGTGATAAGTTAATTAAAGTCTCTTTTTGGATGCATAAGTCAGGTTTAAGTTTTTTGATCATGATGGCTTCAGCAAAACGGAGGGTGGCCGTACTTCTTTGTCTATTGATAATTTTGAAAGCATGTGGAATCTCGATGGTGTGCCCGGTGTCAAGTAGATGTCGAGCTATTGCGCTGTTGAAGGCCTTATTCCCTCGCAGCCTCAAGTTTTTTGGAACATGCTCAGAAATGCGGACATGCACTCTTCTCTCAGTTCTTCCAATGTATGTGCTTTGGCACGTACATGTGAATTGGTAGATGCAGTTGGAGCTACTAAGGAAAGAGGGCTTGTCGATTTTGGTTTGTTGAAGTGAGCAGTTCGTTTGCCATACTGTCATAAGTTTTGCTGCTGGGTAGGTGACTTTCAACGCAGAGTTTATTCTGTGATTAATTATTCCAGCAATTTCATCACCTTTGAAACGTAAGTGTAAGAAGCAGGTTTTTCTTTCTACTCCATCGTATTTTGTACGAGGATTGCTTTTTGCATATTTCTGGATAAATTTCAATGGGTATTCATTATCACGTAGAACATTAGTAATCAGATTAATTTCATCATCAAGGTATTCTTTTGAACAGATTTTTTGAGCGCGGTCAAAAAGGGTTCGTACAATACCCTTTTTGTAACTCATTGGGCAGAAACTATGGTAATTGAGATATATACCACACCAGGTATTTTTATGGTGAATATGTCTATGTAATTTACCATCAGATGTTCGTCGGATCCCAACATCAAGGAAATGGAATTTGTCTTCGGCTTCTTGTTCCATAGTAAACTCTATGTCCTTGTGTGCCTTATTAAATAGATCGAGTAGTTGAATGGCGTGTTCGTGATTGTTGCAGACGAGGAATGTGTCATCAATATATCTGCAATACAGCGTAGTACCATCGATCGCGTGCTTAAGCATTTTTTGTTCTAGGTTTCCCATAAATATATCGGCAAGAATTGGGCCCAATGGGCTACCCATGGCAACTCCATCGATTTGGCGGTAAAAGACATTATTGAATTGAAATTGTATGTTTTTTGTACAAAAAAAGAGGAGCTGTTTAAAATCATGGATTGGTAGGGGTAGAAGTTCAGGATAACCACATATGATCTCTATCGTTTCTTCCAAGGGGATGTTTGTGAAGAGCGATGAGACGTCAAATGAAACCATAAATTTGTCGGAAACATTTAGGTTGTCGAGTTTTTGTACAAATTCAAAACTATCTTTTAGACTGTAAGGTGTTAGTTTCTTTCGGATTGGATCAAGGCACTTTGTCAGCCAGCGGGCGAGTTTATGGAAAGGCGAATTAGCCATGGATAATATTGGTCTAATCGGGATATTGGGCTTGTGAGTTTTGGGTAGGCCGTACAAGTACGGTAATTGTGATCCTTTAGGTTTAAGTTCATTATATGTATGATTATCAATTAGATTTTTCTTTAGGAGATCTCTCAATTTGTTTACAAGTCGCTTCTCTGTCCTCTCTGTTAGATCTTTCTGGGTATTATCGATGATAAATCTAGTGGAATCATTTAAAGTAGACATTATTTTGCTAATGTATTCATCTCTGTTAATAACGACTACACCGGAACCTTTATCTGGACGAAGTAGCATTATTGTTTCATCTTTCACAAGTTTTTTCAAAGCTAGTTGGTGATCTTTAGTCAACACTTTCGATTGTGGGGTTGGTGTCGTTATGTACTGGTTTGTAATGTCAACTAGTTTCGATTTCAACCAACTATGTTTTTCATCGTTCATGGGTTTCAGCTCTGACAACTGTTGATATAAATACTCAAACTGGGTTTCAGTGTCTATTCTGTTGCATTTTTTCGGAATGTGAAATTTAAATCCAAGGGAGAGTGCTTCAGTTTCAATTCGAGTTAGCTTTTTACTGGATAAATTCTGTACGTATTTTTCTGGGTTCGTAGAAAAGGCGTAATGTTTTTGTTCTTTCACAAGTGTTTTGGTTAATGTCTTTAGGAATTTATGACTGGTTTTGGACTGAACATCGTGAATGAAATTCATTAGTTTGATTCTACATACAATGTTTAAATCCATAATAATTTTGTCATAACCGAGTGATTCTGTTTTAAGTTTCGAGATAAGTTCCTTGGTACATTCAATTTGGGATTTTGTGACGCGCCGAAGATTTTTTAAGGAAGGAGGTATTTTACAAGCACGGACAGCTTTAATAATATGACGAGGAAAGCAGCCATCATTCAAGCAACGTAACAGAAACTTTAATCTTGTTGTTTCTCTCGATATTCTGCAACGAACTGCCACCAACCGGTTAAGTGACTTGAAAATGTGAGCAGAGAGACGGATTTTTAAAAATTTCATGCAATTGGTTCCCTTTATGAATTTAAATATTGAAGGTTTCCATGTCAGACTGTTTCACTTATTATTCAATAATCTTTTATGAACCTCGTCCATGTACTTCTTTCAATAAGGTTCGAGTAGTTATTGTGGCTCATTTGTTAAGTTATCGAATTACTGTTACTTTAGTTCACCTAAAAATTTAGTTCTTCATTGTCATTAAATTAACCCTTGTGTACTACGTATGTTTTTCCATTATCATTTCTTTCATTATGTTTATTATCAGATCAACAGAGCTATAGCTGTTGCTGGTGTCGGTGACTTAATCACACGTGTGGGAGTTGGTTGGCTTACAGATAGACCAGCATGTGTCGGTCGTCGTGGCTTATTGTTAGCTGTTACATGGATCATAGAAGGTTTAAATGCCTTCGCATTTGCTGAACTTAACCGATTATATGGAAAATATGCTGTAAGTCTGTAAACATTAATGCTTGTCTAATTTGATAATTTCTGTCTCTTATGCTAACCAAATAAAATAACGTTGAAATCTTGGATATAGCACTCGAAAAAGATGAAAAGGGGTTGTGTCTACGTCGTTATCATAATTATTTTGAGTCCGACCTATCATTTTGTAATCTGTACTCGTGAAGTCTCCACATTCCCATGTGAATCAAACTGATTATTAGAGTTGGTATTAAAACGACTACGGTTTTTTTCTTTATCCCTAACCATTTATGGGTTCCTGACAATCCTATTTCAATATGCGTTTGGTGTTAAGGTGAACAGTAGTGCAGAAATTTTATCGAAAAACAGCCGTTTAAACAGATCCGTCTTTATAATTTCACTCATTAACCGTACCTTGAGATTTTTACGACAATTGAGCCGTGTTGTAAATAAAAATGTGAACCAATGCATATACGGTATGCATATACCCCATCTCCTTCGGATTAACGGATTTCACAATACTCCGACCCTTTATGATGTCTTACTCAAGAAGGTGTAGCAAAGAAAATTTCAAGCAGGTCGTTTTTTGTTACTCTGGCTTTCTTTGACGACCGACTCTGCCCGGGTTGTTTAACCCCTTAATATTTTTTTACAAATAGATCATTTTACATTCAAAGAATGTAAGTGTTTTCTACGTACTGCAGGTCAGTAGCAAATCTGTCATATAAGCTGTCATATATATCAGTAAGCTTATACAGGAATTGAGCAGGAATGGTGGCAGCAGATAACCTCGACAATCAGTTTTTATCACTGTATGCAAATATTCTTTGTTACTTTAAATTAATAAAACAGATTCCTCAGTGGTTTTATCTCAAAGGGCATTGTGTTATTATTTAATATATTGCAATAATCAAGAAATGGAGACTTGTATGATAACTAGTCTTACTTACCATTCTTGAAGGCCTTAAATCATCAAGTTCTTCTGTTCTATCTGACTTTAGGCATACCATTCTGTGTCACTATTTGATTCAGATTTCGGCATAAGTTTCCTGTGCCATAGAATTTCGATACGATGAATGAAGCAATAGACTTGTTAAAATAATATCAACTTTTATTCAATGTTGTCATTTAGCAGTTTTCCCTACATAATCCCTTGTGATCTAATTTTTTTGCATGGTTGAATAACAAGTTAAGTTTCATATTGATATACTCCACAATAATTGAGGAATCAGCAATCGAAAACACTTAAAACCAGAAAACCTATAGGATATCAGTTTACAGTCATAGTTAACTAGTCAGATCTTTGATAGAGGCCATTTCTCTGCTATTTTAAAAATCGGTTTTGAAGCATATGAGTTAGGTTACCTCTTGCAGATTTTAGTTAACTCTTGATTAATCCAAACTACAAACCTTATAAACGCTTATGCACGGCTAGAGCTAATTAACAGACAGTTAATCAATGACTTCACGACTCAACAACATACCTTGCCTCTCTCTCTCTCTCTCTATATATATATATATATATATATACTTGGTTAGAGGCAGGATGTCAATAGGAATATTTGCTTCGGTTGATGGGCGGTCTGGGACTAACCGTTTGCGTAACTGATTCCGATGGCGTTGCCACCTGTCACTGCCTACTTCAACTTCGTACATGACTCGGCCAACTCTCCTGACCAGTCGCGCTTCCGTCCATGGACCATGGGTTGATCTGTAATCACGGGCAAACACATGACATCCCACTTCGTACGTGGATCGCTTTTCAAACTTTGTCCGTACTGGTGTCAGTGCATTACTTGGATGCATCAGGCTGTGGATTGTCTTCAGTCTTCTTCCCATTGGGATCTCTGCTAGGGACTTTCGCTCCGGCAACGTCTCATTTGGTGTTGTTCGGTACACGTATAAGAAATTTTGCAACGCGTCCGCTGGCGTCCCCTCCCCTTTTGTTTTAGCCAAGGCTCTTTTAAACGTATCCACAAACCTTTCTGCTTGCCCATTCGACTGCGGGTGGTATGGTGGCGAGCGTAAGTGCTTTATGGCTAGTCGTTGACAGAATGACTGGAATTGGCTTGAGGTAAACTGTGACCCGTTGTCAGATACAATGGCATCTGGTATACCATTTCGGGAGAAAATTTCTGTGAGGATCTGTATTGTTTTATTCGTCGTTGGCGGTATGATAGGGTTGATTTCAGGCCATTTCGAAAGGGCGTCGACTACAACTAGATACATGGTTCCGTTAATCGGGCCTGCAAAGTCGACGTGTATCCTGGACCAAGGATGATCAGGTTGTGGCCATGAAACTGGTGGAACTTTGGCGTTCACTTTTGCTGCTTGCTGACACCGCATACATTTTCCAACCAATTCTGTTATATGTTGATCCATTAGCGGCCAATACGCATGACTCCTGGCTATGGATTTCATTCGTCTAACCCCGGATGACCAAGGTGGAACTGTTTCAGCACTTTTGCACGAAGGGATTCTGGCACAACCACTCTCTCTCCGAACATCAAGCAGTCGTTTACAATGCATAGAGAATCCCGCCGCTGATACAGCTGTTTTATATCACCATCAAACTTCTTAGACGGCCAACCGTTGGTGACATAGCTCATAGTCATCTTGATGATGGGGTCGCTCTTAGAAGCATTTTGTATGTCCGTTGCAGATACCGGCAAAGTTCGTATTGCGGTCGTCAGATAACATTCGGCGTGGTCTTCCGCTAGCAGAGATGCGATTACCGTGTTTTCCTCAGCCGCCAACTGGTCACTAATGAGCCGTGATAAGGCATCCGCCTGACCGAATTGTTGAGTGCGTCGGTACTGGATGTGCTAAGGCCCATCTCTGAAGACGATTTGCTGAATGGGCTGGAATGCCAGATTTCGACCCGAATATTGCGAGTAAAGGCTTGTGATCTGTGAGAAGCGTGAATCTCCGACCGTACAGGAACTTGTGGAAACGGCGCACAGCAAACACAAGCGCAAGAGCTTCTTTTTCTATCTGGCTGTATTTTTTTCTGCTGGGGTTAGTGTGCGGGCAGCATGCATAACGGCTTTTTCCGATGCATCCGGGAACTGATGGGAGATAACAGCGCCTAGGCCATAGGCGGAAGCGTCTGCAGCATGGCTGGATCGTAGTGTGTCAACAGCAATTCCGAACTAATAATGGACTTCAGTTTACAAAAGGCAGCGTCACACTGTTTAGTCCAGTTCCAAGAGCTGTTCTTCTGCAGTAAGCTATTCAGTGGAGCGCGAATATCATGCATCGATGGAACGAACGCTGAGTAATAGCTGACAAGTCCCAGGAAGGAACGTAGTGACGAGACATTAGTGGGAGTTGGCATCAGTTTGATAGCTCGGATATTCTCAGGATCCGGCCTGCGGCCGTCGGCATCGAAAATGAACCCCAAGTATTTTACCGACTGCAAATAAAACTGGCATTTCTCTAGGCGTAACCGGAAACCGTTGTCACTGATGCGTTGCAGTACCAATGTCGTGCGTTCTCGTAGCTGTTCTAATGTCTCTACAATTAAAATGTCGTCCAAATAAGCCGCGACTCCCGAGATACCTGATAGGATGGTATCCATTAGTTGCTGGAAAATAGATGGTGCAGTTTTGACTCCGAAAGGTAGACGGTTATACTGGAACAAACCACGATGGGTATTGATAGTTAACAGCTCTCTTGATGCTTCATCTACTTCCACTTGCAAATAAGCATCAGCTAGATCCAGCTTAGCGAAAAACCTTCCCCCATTCAGCATGGTAAATAGGTCTGCGGGAACAGGCAGGGGATAATGATGTTGTTCCAGAGCTGCATTGAGACCTGTTGAAAAGTCAGCACATATACGTATCGTGCCGTTGGCTTTCTTAATAACCACAATAGGTGCTGCCCATGCAGAGTAGGAAACGGGAGTAATAACTCCTTGTTGTTGAAGGCGGTTCAATTCTTCATCTACTGTTTGTAATGTTGCATAAGGGACAGGTCTCTTTGGGCGAAAAACAGGCTTAGCCCCAGTTTTCAATCGAAGTGTTGCTTTCATGACAGAGCAGCGACCCAATCCAGGTTGGAAAATAGTTGAAAACTGCGTCATTAGGTTCCTCGTATAAGCTTCCAAGTCATGTGGTTGTTGTCGTAGTTGGGGTTGTGATACCAGGTTGCATATGGTATTCAACGGGACATCAGCTAAATTTAAGTGATCGAACCAATCTAACCCGAGCAAATTTAGATCAGCTGGCGTTATGTAGCATACCCCAACAAATGCCAAATCACGGAAAGTAACTGTACATTCCATTTGTCCTAGCAGGTGAAGGTAATTACCACACGCAGTACGAGGCTTTTGCGTTGTACCTGCAAGTTTGGGCTGCCCATTTTGATCCAAGTCTTACGAGAGAGGATAGTGACATCTGATGCTGTATCTATTTGCAATTAGATGAATGCCCATTAATGTTAACAGTAATAAATTTTCTCTGACCTGGTGATGAGCTTTGACACGAAGATACTAAGCTCAATGAATTGGTGCGGGATCTAGGAAGGGTCTTTTTGGTATTTCTGGATTGACTTGGAGTCTTCTTCAGACAAAACCCATCCTTATGACCAATAACCTTACACTTCTTGCATCGATGTTGATTAAATGGGCAGTTTCGAACGTAGTGCCATGCACCACATTGCCAGCAGGGGGAGTTGCTTTAGTCTGTCGTCTCGAGCTGGAGTGGGATGGACTGGATGAAGCGGGGACGTATTTGTTTTTGCAAGGTGTCTGTTGCACCGCTCGTACTTCAGATCGGCTAGACCACCACTCTGGACCATAGAAGTGTCTCGTTGCAGATTAATGAGACGTTGATATTCATTAGCTATATCACTCAGGGTGAGTTTTGGCTCTTGATCCAAACGACTTAGTAGCCTTGTTCGTAAGTCACTGAACTTTTGGTGCTGTAGGCTGCAAATAAGGATCAGGGCTTTAAACTGATCTTCAGTCAAGGACTTTAACCGGAAGCGTTCGCATTCACGGTTGACGACGCCCACATGCGTAAGAAAATCATCATCTTCGTTCATAGTTAGCTTCAAGCATAGATAACGAGTATTAAACAGTGACGAGTTATCGCCAAAATGTTGGCTTAATGTTTGAACTGTGTCTGCAAATGATCGGTCACGTGGGTTCAACGGCAGGATCAGATTGCAATACTTGTCCAGCTCATTTGCACCCAGTTTACGAAGTAGCAGCCGCACTTTCCAAGCATCATCTTGATTGGCGAAATCAAATTTAAATAGATCTTCATAACGCCTGAACCACATCTCAAAAGTAACATTAGAATCAGGATCGTAATGAAATTCAGCTATGCTATTTGCGATGCCATCTACCGATGGTGCCGTGGTTGAACTAGACGTGCTTGGCTGTAAGGGAGGTGTAACCTTGGTCTCCATCAACATTTGCATCAATTTCAGCTGCTGCTCAAGTAACAGTTCAAGTTTGGAAGGGTCCATCATTGAAAACCACCGTCGCCAATTTGTTGTTTCGTTATGCTTGAATGCTATTACTGATGCGTCTTACTCGAACGGAACGAAGGATCAATGATTCAGCGACTCGATAGCTATTCTGGTTCGTTGTCCCCGACTCTGCTAACTCGATCAAGAAGTCTGGGTAAGGTGTAGAAAGTGTATTCTACAGACAAACAGCAGATAACAGTGGTTGGAGATTCTGTGTCACGTGGTTGAGAATCGATCACAATGGCGTCGATGTATACACTCTCTGTCTTCCATTAAACTATGAGATTAAACTGGCTTTATATCTTTCTTTCTACCAACTAATTCTTTCTTCCTGTACTATATCGTTATTGTAATCTTTCTTTTATATATTACCACCTCTGAATTAACTACTTTTATGAATCCGGTGTCAATCTTGTTGTGTGAATGAGGTATGACAACTTGGACCGATGTATATATGTGCCTTGTCTTACATTGTAGCGGACTGACTGATTGATATTTAAAACATCTAATCATTTATTGACATGAATTAATTAAGATTTTCATCTTTCAACAACAAATTTATTAATTTCCTCTTTAACTTATACCTACTTGATTGATCATTCAACTGTTTCATCTTCAAATTGATTTAAGCAAATAATTCAACAAATACCCTAAAAACCAACCTCTTTTTTTATCTTTCACTTTTATCATACAACTATGTTGATCAAATAATGATCATTATGAAAAAAGTACCATGTTATCTGTGTGTGTGTGTGTTAAGTACAATCTCAATTCTACTATAATTGAAATATCATTTGCCAAATTGTTTCAGTAATACAGATCATTGATCAGTTTGTTTGTTTTTTTATTTAAAGAATAGGTGACTTGTATCAATTATATTTTGGTTACAAAAAACAAGCGTTTAAAATAAAAGTTTATATACATTTTGTCTTAATCAATGTAGTTATAAAACAGATAGATGATGTGGTTACTAGTACAATCTCAAAAATACTAGAGTAGTTTGGGATTACTGTGTAAGGAATGCTGAATTTAGACTTATGGTATCATGTAAATATGACAAATCGGTGAATGAATTAGTGAGGTCTTCACCGACTAGGATGGTTTGTCATATTAAAGTTATCTACACATGATGCTCATTTATCAATAAAGATTGACAAAAGCTTATTCCTGAATATTATCAGTCAGATTAATTTAAATCCCTACGAATAGTGAAACGTTATTGCTAAGCAAAAAATGTTCAGAATAAATATCAATTGCTAAACATTTACAAATTGAAATAGCCACCGAAGTCAGAATCTGCAATGTATACGTCAAAAAAGTTGTATTTTATGGAGAACTACCGCAACCATCATCAAGAGAGTATAAATATTTATAAACAATTGTCTACGCAAGATACTCCATGTTCGTTGACCGAAAACCATCATCAATAGACTACTATAGGAGAAAACAAACCAAATCTGAAGAGGAAATTAAGAAAAGACGTTAGAGGTGAATAGGCCTAACTTGGAATCCTTATGGGAAGAGGAAAAAAGGAAGACTAAAGAAGACATTACGTCGGGAATCGATAACAGACATCAAAAGAATCAATAGCAATTGAAAAGAAGTAGAAAGAATTCCCCAAGTTAAAGTTTGTTGGGTGGTCTATGCTCCTCCTCGAAGGGGTAACAGGCGTAAATAATTAAGTAAGTAATTTTTTGGGTCAATTAACTGAAATGGGTTCATAACAATAATTGAAGTTGATTTCAACACTCATATCTCACAATATTATTTATCAATTACGAACTTTTCATAATAAATGCCCTGGTACGGGCGAGAGTGGGGAGAGTTCGCTCTCCCTCTCGAAATGCTTTCACATGGCCACGCGTATATAGCATCTGCCAGGGAAGTCCTATTCACTGCCTCCTCGTGGCGGGGGTGTTGTTTACGAAAATGAGAGGACGAAAAACGGATGTCCGGCGCTTTAACCGGATCCAAACCAATGGTGCACATGGGTTCCAGGATCCTGCGGGAACAAATGGCGTATGAACCAATTGTTGGTCACCGGCTAACATGGGAATGCATCTCCTTACGATGGTCCACTGCCTTGTGGGCTAGACCTTTAGGTCAAAGGCTTGGGGTGTGGCCTCCTAAGAAAACCACCTGTTTCGGTCTGGGCACCCGGGCAGTTACACAGCCCTCACACATATCAAATGAGATCTGTGTGGCGCATATGTACTTGGTGCCTCCTTGTATCAATATCTGTGTTAAAATAAAATAAATCTTAGTTTAAATTGTTATTGTTATATACTTATTTACAGTACCAATTACATTACACTTAATTTCGTTTTGAACCTAGTGAAACTACTAAAATTGTCTGGTTTATTTCACAATTTTAGATCTACAGGAACATTCCGATAACATTGCATAATTGTCTTGTTTTTTTTTTAAATTTTAAGTCTTAGACTAGTCTATGGAAACGGAGAAATAAACTAGCATTTCATAATTAAACACTATGATGAAGTGATAAACTAAAATGTTCGCTCAATATGTTTACACTTCTAAATCATAGTCAGTAGCTCAACATTAGACTGAACTGGTTATTGATGTTTTCTTGCAAGTTACATGTTCATATCCTCTAATTTTTAACACAATCAATTGCCATACCCTATGTAAAATGGATTTCAATTGGTTAAGTGATTAATTCACGTTTATGTGTACACACATCTATCTGTTCAAATATAATAATAATAATGTTTTGTGTATAATGTATCTTTTCGTTTTCTAGATTATTACTGATGTTAATGGTAATGTTGTTGACAGTAATGGTAAATCATTACTAATAGCATTCTATTTTATATGCTCTGCTATTCATGGTATATGTAGTGGAACTGCAATGACTCAAATGGTTGTAGTTTTATGCGATTGGGTTGGCTCTTCACAATTAGCACAATCTTTAGCAGTAACTATGGTTATTTTAGGGTTAGTTATATCACCGGGACAATTTTTGATGGGTAAGTGTTATATAATACAGTTTTTAAATCCTTATTTTTTTTTTAAAGAATTATGATAAATTTCCAGATTATAATCTAACAAAGTGTGACCTTTTTTTTCCTATAACACATTACGGAATCTATTCATTGAAAAGCTTAAACTTGACTGTCATGTAAATCAATAACATCTTTTAGTGGTCTGGTTGAATTTCTTACAACTTATTGCCTACGTCTATTGAATATACTGACTTCTATATCTTATCCAATAGAGTTGTGTTTTGATTGAAATATATAAATTCTGTGGATAATAGGTGTTTAAAAATCTACAAGCCAAACATTGGTGATAGTAATCTAATTCAACAATATAAATCCCATCATTCTTCATATTTAAATGGATGGAATAGTAACATTCAAATATGTGTCTGAATGTGAGATCTATGTCACCATATATAGATTCTTTATTTCATGATAAGTTATTCAATGCAGTATATAATAAGAATTAGACTTTGCAATCTCTCCTATCTACCATCAGAGTGTGCTCAATTAACATGGAAACTTTTTGTTCCTCTTGATAAGCATTCATTGAATGATACTGAGTCGATAACTTTACCATATTAGTAATTAACTGACCAAACTGTCATTTTACTATGAAGCGAATTATTGTAATGGAATATGTGTAACATGAATTGATCATGAAATAAGTAAAGCAAATAAAAATGAGTAATGCTGTTGCATTCAAACGATGTCTTTAATTAAACCGCACATATTATTGTTGGTTATTATCGTCACATGTTCTCTCGATTACGTTTCCTATCTATGCAATAGTTATAAGTTATTATAAAACCGATCACGGGACTGAAATAAATATAGAAAAAATACGATATATTTCTGAGTTTCTTATTATAACAACAAAGAATGATTGATGATTATTGAATATATGGTATATAGCTTGGTGGTCTGACTGGCTCAGTGGCCTAATGATTAAGCGCTTGCTCGCGAGACCGATAGGTCCTCGGTTCGAATCTCGCGAAGGGCGGAATCGTGGATGCACATTGTTTTGCCCCCAAATGCCCTGGTATGGCGGAGAGAGAGGTGGACCCGCCCTCCCTCTCGAAATGCTGTCACACGGCCACGCATGTACAGCCTCTGCCAGGGAAGTCCTACTCACTGCCTTCTCGTGGCAGGGGTGTTGTCTACGAAAATGAGAGGACGAAAAGCGAATGTCCGGCGCTTTAACCGGATCCCAAACCAATGGTGCGAATGGACCCTCCCTTGTACCAATATTTATGTGTTCAAATAAATAATAAAGGAGGCACCAAATAGATATGGGCCACACAAATCATTCGATTTGTATGAGGGCTGGGATACTGCCCATGTGCGCAAACCGAAACAGGTGGTTTTCTTAGGGTACCACACCCGGAACCTTTGACCTAAAGGCCTGATCCACAAGGGAGTTGATCAACGTCAGAAGATGCAGTCGCATGGTAGCCGGTGACCAATAATTGGTTCATACGTCATTTGTTTCCTTAGGATCCTGGAGCCTATGTGCACCATTGGTTTGGATTAGGGTTTTCTAACTCCCCTAAGTGAACTCTCCACGTCCACCAACCCGGATAAAGCCACAGACATTTACTTTTCGTCCTCACATTTTCTTAATCAACACCCCTGCCACGAGAAGGCAGTGATTAGGACTTCCCTGTTAAAGGTTCTATGCACATGACCATGTGAAAGCATTTGGAGTGGGAGAGCTGACTCTTTTCACCCTTGGCCGTACCAGGGTATTTTGTGGCTGGAATACAATAGTGCCCATATATTGGTTAAACATTATAATTTCCAGCACATTGAACAAACTCAAAATGTGTACACTGAACACCCCTAGTTATTTGTTTATTTTGGCATGTTGGTTGTTGTATCCAGATAGATTGACAATTTTTTCGATTTTTTTTTAGAAAATTATTCTTAAACATTAATTAATGAATCTTTTCTTATAGGTTTTGTTGCTGATTACACGGGTACATTTGTTTGGTCATTAAGAATATGTGGTGTTATTCTTCTATGCGGTGGTTTCACTCTTTTCTTAGAATTTCCCGTTCGTCGATTGTATCCATCTGCAAATAATCATCATGATAATAACAAAGGTAAATCGATTGAACAATGTATTCCAGTGAAAGATATCGAAGCACAAGATATCATATGTGATAATGTTGTGAATGGTCTAACTAATGGTGGTAAATGTCATTCATTTATTAATTCAACAATTCCTATAGATAATAATATATCTCCACTGATTAATACAAATGGACAAATTACAAATTAAACAGTATACAATTGTATATCACTGTTGTTTTGTTTTGTTTTGTTTAGAATACAACACGAATCGTACTCATTTATTTGTCACTATGCCTCTATAATATGATTGAATTAACAAACTATTACTATACATGAAGGATTTTGTCTTCTTTTTCTTCCTTTATATATATATATATTTCAATTCATTTTCTTATTCCTGAATGATACATGTAATTGATTTCTTCTTGATCAGTTTAAAGTTCAACTCTCCCTTCTTCCTCTTTTTTTTTGGAGAGAGGGGGCGGGGGGAAGGAATGGTTCTACCAAACAATCCAATTATCGATTCTGTTCTCGTTATATGTATATGACTTATTTGTGCCTATCCAATAGTGGTTGTTTATTTTTAATAATAAGAATAATAATCACTAACCAACCCGAGTTATTTTTTTTCACTTCTCTTTTTTTATTTTACTTCAAAAACAAACCCTCCCGCCCACTACATAATTTTTGTTGTTGTAGGATTATTGTCTAAATTTGTCTATGCTGATTACATTCAGATAGATAGTTAATGTTATAAATATATTACCATACTATTCTATGTATCTGAAATGACCTCTATTATTATTTTGCTTACAGTAATCTTAGGTATATTATAATCTTATTATTATTATCTTAACATTAGAAATCACGCATAACTACTTCCATTAGTCGGTATGGGTTTTTATGTACAAACAGAATATACCTTCAACTTTATCCTTTCACTCTCACACGGACAGTCACACACACACACATTCACACGTACTACACACAAAAATGCACATCAACACACATAATCAGTTGTGTGATTTAGATTAATTCGACTTGATTTTATGCAGACATCATCATCAATAGATTAGTAATAATGAAGTGAAATCATTTTGTATCATAATTATTATTATTGATGGTGTTGTTCCTTTTCGTTTTTACCGGTACATCCATTTCACGATTGTAAATTTGTATTCATCATTCTGTTTTTATTATTAGTGACAGTATGATTTGTAATATTATTGATAATAATAATACTAATGTTATTGTATGTAACATGTTAAATAAAAGTATGATTTCATTATCGAAAAGACAACTTCATTGGTATGATTCGATTTTTAGATTAAGTAACTTGTTGAAATTACTTGTGAATTGGTGCGTATTTAAGAGTCAGATTCTACAGTTCAGTTTAGTAACTATGGGAAGCTCTTTCAACTCTTCCGAATTACTAGCAACGAAAAGTCTAATATAGGTGAAATGATCTGTAGCTAATAACACTCGAATTAGTGATATAATATTGAAAGGAGTCTCGGTTGACGGGTCGTGTTTTTCGAGGAATCAGTCATCTACAACGTAGGACAAGGCACATATGTGCATCGGTCCAAGTTGCCATACCTCATTCACACAACAAGATTGACACCGGATTCATAAAAGTAGTTAATTCAGAGGTGGTAATATATAAAGAAAGATTGCATATAAGGATATAGTACAGGAAGAAAGAATTAGTTGGTAGAAAGAAAGATATGAAGCCAGTTTAATCTCATAGTTTAATGGAAGACAAAGAGTGTATACATCGACGCCATTGTGATCGATTCTCAACCATGTCAACAAGAGTATCCAACTATTGGTTACGAAAGTCAAGCGAACCCCAACTAAGTAGTCTGTATCTACCAGCAACGCTCAGACTAGAAGTTAGTGACTTCAAGCACTGATGCCACGTTTTGGTTTGACCGCCTATAACTTTTTTCCAACCATCCCGAATACCAGTTAGCACTGGACGTCGTGGTAATCGGTGTTCAGGCATACGCAACACGTGGCCCAACCATCTCAGTCGATGAAGATTCATAACCTCATCAACTGGTTTACCATCATCATTCCGTAATACCTTGCATCTGACCTCACTATTACTTACCCGGTGATCGTAGAAGGTGTGAGCAATATTTCTAAGGCATCTGTGTTTAAATACTAGTAGCTTATGAGTATCTACTACTCTTAATGGCCGCGTTTCGTAGTCGTAAAATAGAGCAGAACGAACTGGCTGCCGCGCAGTATACTCGTCGTTTTATTCATAGACGAATATCTCACCTTCGCTATAGGTGACGTAAGTTAGCAAAAGCCGAACGAGCTTTTCAAATCCGAACTGAGACTTCGTCATACACAAACCCATCAGGCTTCCAAGCTAAGTTAAGTTTTCAACACGTTCGACTACCTGACTCGCTGTCCTTAGTTCAGGTGTTGATGTAGACCAGTCCTGAAGCAACAACTTACATTTGTTAGGGGAGAAGCGCATCCCAAAGACTCTGGCGTTCTTGCTCAGTGCTTCCAAAAGACTGCATTTTATCAGCGTCTTCACTAAACTGGATTATATCATCTGCATATTCTAAGTCGATAAGTGGACCTCCTAGAATGAAGTCAATTCCTGAAAACTCAGTCGACGAGAGCGTCATTTCCATCAGTAGGTTTATGCTGAATTTAAACAAAAATGGAGAAAGTGGACAGCATTGATGGACACCACTTGAGGTCGCAAAAGCAGATGACAGTTTGCCACAAGCTCTGACTTGACTTCGAGTAAAGAGCCGTCACAATGTTATGTATTACCCCATCGATATAAATATAACTGTCCTGTATCCCTTGGGTGCAAAAAATTTCGATTTCTAAAGTACTACAGATTACCAGGCTCAACGACCTATCCTCTTTGTTTTTTCGGTTTGGTAGCCAGCTTCTGTTTTGCGAACTGGGGGAAAACGTCCCAATTTCTTGGAATGAATCAATTGCCGTCTATGCATCAACTGTAGAGATAAGTCTACTTTTCATCACGTCCAAACCATTGGCTTTCATCTTACTTTACACATAGTACACAACCCATGAAAGATTGACTTGGAAGAAGTCGTCTGGTTTTTGTTCAGATCATGAATGTTTTGATCATATCTTCACCATCCACCACATGTTAGAACACTTACACATTGATTAGAGACAGTCAGTCGTATTTTTGATACTAGGACTATCTTCAATCCCTTAAACAGTATTTGCACCAACTATTACTACAGGGTATATTTGAGAAATTTAGTAATATCTTGAAAACTGTACAAAAGCCGGAGAGAGGGAGAGGATACAACCATCCCTTCTCATCTTACTACTGTATTATAATTACCTATTATTAAAAGAGCTATTAGAACAATGAATATAACTGAACAATATTGTTTTCAATTAATGATTTAATTGGATAATCAATAAGGTTTTTACTCTTCAGTTTATTTAAGTCTCATTTAACCAAATTTAACCTTGACATTATTATCTGGAGTCGAATGCCGATAGTCAATTTGACCTTTTTATTCATTCGATATATAATCAGACATCAAAATATAGAATTATTTTAACCTACAATATTCATTTCATAGTTTACTTATGGTGTAAAATTTCATTCTGAATTTAATATTTTAGAAAAAAATATTGAAGTATTAAAACGGAAATTATTTAATTTAATAGTTGAAATTTCACAGATTGAAATCATGAGTCAGTTGAAGCTAGACCACCAGTGGAAACCTGGAAGCACTGGACGGCCGTTTCGTCCTGGCATGGACTCCTCAGCAGTGCGCATCCACGATCCCGCACCACGCGGGGCTCGAACCCAGGACCTACTAGCTTCGGGCGCGAGCACCTAACCACTAGACCACTGAGCCGGCATCCAACGGTGTTAATGTCTAACTTCAACTAATCCACGAAGTTGCGCCACCGTACACCATTGCCTTCAGTGAGTTGTTATCTCACAACAGACCGGTCGAACTTCACTGGTAACGGCTTCTCACTAGAACTCCAGGAGTTTTTCCTGAAGTCAGTCACTAGTGAGCAGTTGATTATTATCAGAATGGGTTTTGTGGAGAGTTTTAGAAAGTTCACAGGTTGAAATCATGAGCCAGTTAAGTGCTCGCGCGCGAAGCCAGTAGGTCCTGGGTTCGAGCCCCGCGTGGTGCGGGATCGTGGATGCGCACTGCTGAGGAGTCCCATACCAGGACTAAACGGCCGTCCAGTGCTTCCAGGTTTTCAATGGTGATCTAGCTTCAACTGACTCATGATTTCAACCTGTGAAATTTCTAAAACTCTCCACAAAACCCATTCTGTTAATAGTTGAAATCAGGAATCAATTGAGGCTAGACCAACATGGAAAACCTGGAAGCACTAAATGGCTGTTTCATCGTAGTATGGGACTCCTCAACGGTGTTCATCTACGATCCCGTCTCGACAGATTCGAACCTAGTACGTATCAGTGTAGCATACGAACGGTTGACCTCTAGATCATTGAACCGTCATCCCAACAGTGTAACTTCAACCAATCAACGAAATTATTTAATTTGTACATTCTTAATTTTGATAGCAGACTATAACACTTAAGATAAACTCTGAAATACATTGAGTACTGGACAGTTAGAAATTCCCAAAAGTAAATCGTTTCATTGAAAATCATTGAACATAAACTGAGTTTTCTACGTCCATATTTACATTAGATTTAACTTGATACAATTAATTTTTGCTACATAATTCAGATTATTTGAACATATGAAAGAGTATTATTCAAAGTATATGTGAATGGTAATGTTTCTGTTTGTTTTTGATGAATGTCAACATCATAACTCATGATTAATTAACATTTCCGGTTAATGAATAATAGTTATTCATTGAAATTCATAATCTACTAGAAGGGTTGCAATACAATTAGACCTATGACGCTTCTGTTACCCAAAAAGCGAGCTGACATTGTATTACCAGTTAAAGGCGACTCATATAGTCTTATGTTGAAATGGAGATTTAAATTAGCCATCAAGAGGATAATTTATGCAACCCTATTTGTCATTATTGAAAAGACAAGGTCTATGTTTAACCGAAAACCTAAACAGCACGTAAGGGATTGTGTCTATCAATTTACATGTATGTGCGGAAAAACGTGTATAAGGAGGAGCAATCGTGATTTGCAAGAAGGGGTGACGGAACACATACTTAAATGGTTGCAGAATCAGATGAATTCCAATGGTCAAATAAAATCACAGGATAGACAGACATCTTCCTCTATAGCGAAACATTTGATTCAGACTGGTTATAAGGTTGATATCAAGTCAACATTTGTAGTGTTATACAACAGCCTTCAACGACGTATACAAAGGTTTATTAAAGCTTTGGCTATACGGAAACTGAAACCTCCTTTGTGTGTTCAAAAACAATTTGTTCTTACCTTTAACCTACCTTGTTCATATTGATTTATTATCCAGAGTGATTAACACTCTGTGTACTATATACCTCTTTGTTACAGCTTACCTTTAACTTGTCTAATTGACCTTTTATTTTTCATATAAAAATGTTTTGACAATTATATGTGTAACGCTTTTTTTTCTTTTTTCATTTAATTAAAATTACAATTTAATGAGCTCATCTTCGTGTACTTGTCCCTGTTTATTATTATAGGTTGGAATATAGATTAAGAAAAAAAGTTAACATTTTCCATGGATTTTTTCAGTTTTCGTTTGGAGAGGACAGGAGGCGTGATGGCCTGTGTTAGTCTTGGCAATGATGGTCTCTCAGTTGATCCAACTTTCTTTTGAAAGAGTAGACGAATGGAGCCTCAACCACGTGCTGAAGTAATGAATTCCACTCTTTGATGATTCGATGGGAAAGTCGATAGTCAACTGATAAGTAATTTGTTTTGGACTTGTGAGCTTTTCTCTAGTATCCTAGTAAATTCTATGTTTTGGAAGACAAGAAAAATGAGGATATATTAGGTGCAAATTTATCACTGTAATCAAGTCGTCTCTAGTTCTTCGATATGACAACGGGAATAAGTTTAGCTTGGCCAGTCAATAGTGTCATAAGAAGGCGACATAGTTCTGATAATCTTTGTCTTCTTATTACACTATTGAAATTTATCAAAAGGACTAATTGAATTAAATTTCTTAAAAAAAACGACTCCTTTCATATAGGTTCTTTTTATTTATTTGAAAAGTCCATCAAGTTGAGCAACTATGTGTTGATCTTTTCTCTATAACTAACTTATAAATGTTCTATATCTGGCCTTTAACTATGAGATTAAAATTGCTTCGT